CCAGCAATCAGAAATACCGCATTCTATTCCCTGCTTCCTCATTGGCTTCTGTCAAACCTTGGGTAACTCACTCAAGCTTTGTGCCTTCGTTTACCCATATATACAAAATACTGATGACAACACTGGCCTACCTCCTGGGTTTGGCATGTTGTGAGGATTCTTTCATTCATGTTTGTAAAGCACTTGCTGATGGTATTAGAAATGCTCTGTATTATTTGAGGAGCACCTGGAAGCAAAATTAACAGGGTGGGGCTTTTTTGGCACTCATGGGTGAGTGACTACGGAACAGGAGGGCAACAGGGAGGCATTTGTCTCTGTATTAAGATTTTCAGCACAAAGTTTTAAAAAGAGAAGCAACCAATTACTAAAAATAATCAGTCAGTTTAATATAAATGAGTCCCCTGCAGTTTGGTTGCTTTAATAAGGCACACACAAAAATAAAATACAAAATTACTGATGTAGCAGGTATAATGAGCTGTTTGTTGGGAGCTTGGCCTACTCATTAACTGAGGAAATTAATTCAGAATTGATTTTTGTGGCCTGATGGTTTTTTATCCCTTATTTATTTTATATTAAAATAGTGTTTGTTGCCTTGTGTTTCACTAAGTCCCAAGGGCTGTGTTCTGCACGGCAGAAAAGCAGCTCTGCAGGTTAAGCAGAGAAAATCCCTTTCTTGCATCTGGTTATTTATATGTAATTTTTTCTGGTGAATCCCAAGTAAAATCAGGCTTGCAAGCCTGTGGGAGCTCTCCCTGCAGGTAAAATGCCACAGAAATACAGGTTGAGACATGAACCTAGCTAGACTCAGTTACACCTCATTAACTCAAACATATATAGGAAACCTGGGGCTTTCCCCCAGCTATTATCAACTCAGGTAGCCTCTCCCCTCCAAATAAGAATCAGAAAATACCTTCCAAGGTTTGACCACAAGTCCCCACATCACTGTTTGGCTTGGTGGGGTCTGTCCCTAGGGGCATAACTCCAAGCTGAATGCACCATGTCTGCAGAGCCCTAAGGAAGGTACCAAAGGGTCAGCATATCTACAACACTCCACTTACGTAGTATCACAAAGTGGCACAACATGAGCGTCTCCGTTTGCTTAATATAAAGGATGTCCAGCCTGATAGAGGCTCCCTGAGACTTCCTGGTGGATCGCGCTGATACTCAGGAAGTGGTGGGGGTGGTTCAGTAGATGGTGATGTTCCCTCTGAGTAACTCACTGACTGGTAGAACCATAGAATCGTAGAACCGTAGGGTTAGACAGGCCCGCCGACAGTGGGTGACAAAGGGGGCAATTCCCTCAGGGCCTGGCGATTCAAAGGGGCTCAGGGCTCCTGGCTGCTGCCACTGCTACTGTGCAGCAGCAGCTGGAGTCCTGGGCCCTTTAAATTGCTGCCAGAGCCCTGCAGAGCATGCTGCAGAGCCTGGGGCACCATGCTACAGATGGTGCAGGGGAGGGGCACGGTCTGGGCAGTGCTGAGGCCTGGCTTCTCTTCCACCTGAGGTCCCGCCCTTTCCAAGAGCACAGAGCCGGGCCCCACCCCACCTTGCCTAGGGGCCCAGCAAATCTATCAGCTCACCTGGGGCTAGAAGGGACCACAAAGTTCATCTCATCTAACCCCCTGCCAAACACTGTGGCTCTAGAGTACTGTGCTAATGTAAGTGCCACTACTTGTGCTCATTAAAGATCCCAGAGGACTTTTTGCAAAAAAATGATGTTGACTCTGGTGGCCTCACCAAATTCGACTCCAAGTGCCTGATTTTATTTCCCCCACAGATGCCTGCCCTTTCCTTCATTGTCACAGCATTTTATAAAGCTACATTCGGTGTGACATCAATGCAGTTCCACGTATTCTAGAATTACACTGAGGTCACTGAGATTGCACCCGGGCCCTGGTTTAGAAGGTGCTTGGGAATGTGAAAAGTCAGCCACAGTTAGTTTGGAGGGCTCATTATTGTTAGCTCTCCTGGAGGTGCTGTGAGAAATACATTTTAACTTCTACCACCTAAAGCAATCAGCCTAAAGCAGATGATAAGTGGTGTTTGTTGTTTTTTTAACAACAGTCATGGGAAACAGCTCTTTGAAGGAAGTGTGAGTAATTGAGTGGGGTGAGGATTCGTTTTCCTTGGGGAGTATTCCCAGAAAACATTAATTTTCAGGAATTTTGCAAGAGGAATCTCACATTTTTGGGAACATTGTTTGGGGAAAGCAAGGTGAAGTACACTTACAGCATACAACATCTCTCCTTAAATCCAAAAATCCACATTGTCAGGCTAGTTCTGCCTAGATCTACTGGCAGAGCTCCTCAGTTCTGCTGGCTCCTGCTACTTTCCAGTGCTGACTCCCTCAGTGCATCTCCACAGGACAGAGGGAGCCTTCTGAGGAAGGAGGCATGCTTTCCAGTATGGGAGACAATGGGGGAGATGGGGTTCTAGAGGGTGATGTTCATGAATTCATAGATTCCAGGATGAGACGAGGTAACAGAGATCTTCTAGTCCAATGGCGGGCAATAAGACAGAGGCAGTTCACCAAGGTTAGCCCCTGGTGGACCGCCGCCTTTTATTTACCTGCACCTCTATAGGTACAGGTGCTTACTGCTCCTACTGGCAGCAGATTGCTGTTTCCAGTCAATGGGAGCTGTGGGAAGTGATGTGGACTGGGATACTACTTCCTGAAGCTTCTATTGGCTGGTTTGCATGTTCCAATGGTTAATTACTCTCACCATTTAAAAAACTGCCTTATTTCCAGTCTGAATGTATCAAGCTTCAACTTCCAGCCATTGGGTTGTGTTATACCTTTCTCTGCTAGACTGAACGGCCCATTATTAACCATTTGCCCCCCTGTAGATCTTTAACTTTCTCTTTCTTAAATGTGATTTTGTCACTACAAGGCATGTTTTTTCACCTTTTAATTTTTCTCATGCATCTGCTCTGAGTGTTTCCAGTCTATCAACAGCCTTCTTGAATTGGGCACCATGTTCACAGTTGCACCAGTGCCACTAAAATAAAATATTCCCTATACTGCTTCGGATTCCTGTTTATGTGTCCCAGGATCACATTTGCTCTTTTGGCCACAGCATTACACTGAGCACTCATCTTCAGCTGATTATCTATTACAATTCCAAAGTCTTTTGGCGTCACTGCTTCCCAGGACAGAGTCCCCCATCCTGTAAGCTTGGCCTACATTCTTTGTTCTTAGATGTTTGAATGTACCTTTAGTCATATTAAAATACAGTTTGCGTGTATCCAGCTTACCAAGTGATCCAGATCACACTGAATCAGAAACCTGTACTCTTCACATGTGGGAGTTGGGTTTGGAGGGGCAAATGAAGTGGGGACAGTTCAAGAAGCCTGCTTCAGGCTTGGCTTTCCAGCACAACAGGCAGCAGCTTTATGAAGAACAGAGATGGGAAAAAGTTGACCAGGAAGGGAAAGGACTTTATGCTGAAGATCTGACGAGGGATCCACTATACTGTTTCATCACACTAGAACAGCCAGTGGAGAGACTGAAGACACGTTAGGGGTTGACACTGGGGATGTGCCAATGTTTTATTGCCCACCCCTGAGTTTCTGGGAAACTAGGTAGATACTTGGGACAGAATTCTCTGTAGTAACTTAAAGCTCTCCCCATCTCGTTCTGAAATGTTTGGTCTGTTACTGTTTCTCCATCCTCACTGAGCAGTGGGCCTACCCTGTCCTTGGTCTTCCTCTTGCTTCTAGTAGATTTATAGAATGTCTTCTTGTTTTCCTTTATGTCCGTAGCTAGTTTGAGCTCCTTTTGTGCCTTTGCCTTTCTAATCTTGCCCCTGCATACCTGTATTGTTTGCTTATATTCATCCTTTGTAATTTGTCCTAGTTTCCACTTTTTATATTACTCCTTTTTTATTTTGAGATCATGCAAGATCTCCTGGTTAAGCCAAGGCAGTCTTTTACTGTCCTTTCTATCTTTCCTATGCAGCAAAATAGCTTGCTTTTGGGCCCTTAATAATGTCCCTTTGAAAAACTGCCAACTTTCTTCAGTTGTTTTTTCCCTTAGCCTTGCTTCCCATGGGACCTTACCTACCAGCTCTCTGAGCTTACAAAAATCCGCTTTCCTGAAATCCATTGTCTCTATTTTGCTGTTCTCTCTTCTTCCGTTCCTTAGAATCATGAACTCTGTGATTTCATGATCACTTTCACTTTCACTTTCCACTTTCTTCTGTAGGTGTATCAGGGTGAATGAGTCTATTTCTGTTGGGCATCTCTATGGCTACTTTTTGTGGATTTCAATATTAATAGAAGCCTAGCACATATTGTACCATACATAGCCAATCACCCCATTTGTTATTTATAAGGTGTTATTCATGACCATTTGACAAATTAAAGTGAGGAAGGGAAATTCGGTTATTACCCCTTTCCTGAAAACCTCTGATTAATCCCTATTAACATGTGGGAGCCTGCAGCCATGGCATCTGAGCTTGTGATTTTCTGAGCTCTTACAAGCTAAGCAGGAAAGGGCGTAGGTGATCCTGTGAGCATCATGTTCTGATTATTGAGGAATCATGAGATGTAAAACCAAGGTGTCCTGAACTTTTGTGCTCATTTAGTACCTCTAGACATTTTACACATGGTTAGGGGCTCATTCTTGGTACCCTGGTCAAGCTTAAAGCTAGGGAATTGCATTTTGCCTTCCTAAATTCCTCTTGAAGTTTCAACTGGATTCACTATTCTTCACTTAACTTCTGTAAATATTACTGTTAAAAAGCTGTCACATACCCTCCCAGAAGTGGCTGCCTTTCTCCCTAGTGGTTGAAAAGATTCTTACATAACTTGTAAACTGTTTGAGAGCCTTCTCAACTGAAATGTGGGTCATCCTCTCTGGCCCTCGGTGGATAGAATGCCAGCCACAAATTGGAAAGAATGTGTTTTCATTTCTTTAAATAACACAGCTGGGATTCAGCTGTGAGGGAGCAAGTTCACTAAAACCATGTCCCAAACTGACAGTCTTTTTCTTTTCTCAGGTGGTGAAAGGCAGTGAGAGTGAAGTTAAGAAGAGCAAAGACCTACTGAACGAGCTTAAATCCAAATCAGAAATAATGCGAAGTCTCTCCTTAACCAGCTTCATTAAAAGTAAGTTTGTGTTTCCCCTTCCTTGGAAAGTGACTCCTCTGCTTACTCAAATATATATCGGCTCCTGGCAATGAGGACCTTTGTGCTAATATGCATCCCCCAGGATAAAAAGGGGCTATTACTTGCTCCGTGTAACAGCTTAACTCTTAGATGCAGCTTTAGCACATAAGGATTCAATGTGCTAACGTTTGCTCTGTAGATCTCTTATTCATTGGACAATGCAGAACATTTACTAGCGGACCAAACAAAATATCTCATGCCTCCCCTGTATTAACTTAAACACCCTATTTCTGCTGATAGCTCAGCACTTTGTCACAGTGGGCTCTGAGTCCCACATTGCACTGTTAGGCAGGACTACATGCAAATCAGCAAGCCTCAAATCTAGCCACCCTCCCCTGATGCAGGGCCCAGCAGGGGGAGGGTGGGAGCTTGGACCTAGCCCTGGGCACAGGGGGAATTCTGGAAGCCAGCTGGAATTCCAGTGCAGGGACCAGAGGAAGTGGGAAATGCCCCTGGGGTCCCAGGTCATGGCCTGGAGGCCTCTGCAGTTGCTGTGTCCTGGCACAGGCCCCAGAGGAGTGGGAGGAGGTCAGTGGAACTCAACCCTGGTATGGGAGTTGATTCCTGCCACATTGCTGCTGTTGCTCAAAAGTACTCAGCTTCCACCACATGGCTCTGTCTCCCTGTCATTGCAAAAACCACGCCATGGAAGGGGTTACCTCCCTTGCTTCCTAGAATCCCTAAAGGGACCTGCATGTGAAGGACCATGAGAATGTGTAGGCTGGGAACAGTCGGCCCCTCCCAGTGCAACAAGCAAAATGGGCTCTGCTTGGAGACAGGATTTCTAGTGGTAAAATTCTGCTGTATGAAATGCCTGTGCCAGATTATCTTCATCTAGCACAGCTGGCTGGTGTAGAAATCAGATTTTGCTAATGGACTATTGTGATCGTATGAACACAACTAAGGTCAGTGTGTGCTGGGTCAGCCACTTTCATTCTTGGAGTCCATTCCAAGGGGGTTTTGAAGGAAATAATCCGAAATGTGGCTCTCTCTTACAAAAAAATGCCTCTCTGATGTTGGCCTCCTGTCTGCATCCTCCAGATTTCCTAAATCTCATCACTTTGATTTGCAGGACATTTATTATCCTCAATGCTGTGCAGGTCTAGTCATGGGAGAGCAAATTGTCATTTCTGGTCACACTATTCACTTGTTAGCTCTGTTCTTAATTAATCAAGCAAATGCTGGGGGGGGGGAGTTGATCATCTGTTGCCCTTCTCACATTATCATTAAGGAATACCTTGCTACAGCTCATACACTAAGCTCTGGAAGCCCTTGTCAGGGAATGGATTCACAGCTTTTAGGCTCGTGTTTCTGTTTGGCTGCAAACAGACTTTAAATGCAAATACATTTCTTCTGCTCGCTAGAGGTGGGAACAAATCCACCTTTTCAACCCCTGGGATTATTTATTATTATTGCTGCAACCAGGACCACTGTGTACCAAGCAATCGCAGGGCCTCATGGTACTGGACTCGCTCAAAAAACATACAAGCCAAAGACCGAGTCCTGTTAATTCTTACACACCTGAGCAAGTGAAGGATGCGGACGCATTGGAGAGGATGCGGACGCATTGGAGAGGGTCCAGCGGAGGGCAACCAAAATGATTAGGGGTCTGGAGCATATGACCTATGAGGAGAGGCTGAGGGACTTGGGTCTGTTTAGTCTGCAGAAGCGAAGAGTAAGGGGGGACTTGATAGCAGCCTTCAACTTCCTGAAGGGAGGTTCCAAAGAGGATGGAGAGAGGCTGTTCTCAGTAGTGACAGATGGCAGAACAAGGAGCAATGGTCTCAAGTTGTGGTGGGAGAGGTCCAGGTTGGATATTAGGAAAAACTATTTCACTAGGAGGGTGGTGAAGCACTGGAATGGGTTACCTAGGGAAGTAGTGGAGTCTCCATCCCTAGAGGTGTTTAAGTCTCGGCTTGACAAACCCCTGGCCGGGTTGATTTAGATGGGATTGGTCCTGCCTAGAGCGGAGGGCTGGACTTGACGACCTTCTGAGGTCTCTTCCAGTTCTATGATTCTATGATAAGGGGATGGTTGGATGAAATAACATGATCTTGGTAACTAATTGACCATTCATTATAGGGAACTTTCTGGGTGTCTGGCTGGTGAGTCTTGCCCACATGCTCAGGGTTTAGCTGATCGCCATATTTGGGGTCAGGAAGGAATTTTCCTCCAGGGTAGATTGGCAGAGGCCCTGGAGGTTTTTCGCCTTCCTCTGTAGCATGGGGCACAGATCACAGCTGAAGGACTCTCTGCATGTTGGGGCCTTCAAAGTATTGGAAGGCTTCAATATCTGAGACATAGGTGAGAGGATTATTCTAAGAGGGGTGGGCGAGATTCTGTGGCCTGCGCTGTGCAGGGGGTCAGACTAGATGATCATAATGGTCCCTTCTGACCTTAAAGTCTATGAGTCTATTCAGCATGAATGTATCACTATTGTTATTTATTCTTAACCTCCCTTAACTCTCTGGTCCGGCAACAACCATGGTCAAGCAGGATCACAGATATTCTTGCACCACAGAGCCCAGTTACAGGGAGGTCTGATCATGGGGCAGGAGCATGGCGGGAGGGGGCGGGGGCTGTCGACTTAGCCGGGAGCCCTGTGTCAGGGGAGGAGGCACAGGCGGCACAGGAAGGAGTTCTGGCCCCAGCGGTTGGGCAGTAGCAGGGGGCCAGCAGCAGCCATGGTGCTCTGGCAGCTAGAGAGCTCCAGCCCAGGGAACAAGGAGGTGAGACTTTGCAGGATTAGGTCCTCATAATTCATGAGCATAATAAGCAAAAGGAGGATGAGGAAATATTAGTAAGATAAGACAGTTACCAAGGCCAGCTATGTGCAGCTAGACAGAGCCTCTGCCTGATTATTTTTACAACATTTGCCTTTTCTTTGGATGTATTCCATCCCCTGAGTATTTCTCCTGAAATTTCACAACTTCCCATCTCTGTTTGTTTCCAGTTCTTGGTTTAGCCTCCACATTCTCTCTGGCATGAGATGAGAGGCTAAGCTAGTCTAAGATATTCCAGGTAGAGCCCTAACTGTAAAATTGCTAGTGCTGCATAACTGAGATGTAATCACACTTCCTAGAAACTGCACTGGATGTGGCATTACAGAGCTGTGAGGCTGGCAATCAATACTGAATTGTAATATTGGTAAAGTGCTTTAGAGCAGGGGTAGCCTAGCTTGGCCTGAGAACCAAATTTGGGTTCAGAAAGTATATGGAGGCTGGGTAGGGAAGGTCGGAGAAGGCTGTGTCGCCCCAAAAAGACAGGTGTGGCTGGTCCTCACACCAACTGACTTCCTGCCTTCTGACCACTTCCCTGGGCCCTTTAATCTCCTATCCTATCCTGGATGTGGCCCACAGGACTGTAATTTGCCCCCCTCTGTTCTTGAAGTACAATTCGCATTTAACACTAATTTCTAAAAGCAGCGATCACAGCACCATTCTGTTACAAAGATCTGACATTACTAGATCATGGCTAAATAAGCACCTTATGCTCTTTTATCTGAATTCAATGGCTATCTGCATTGTTTGCCTGCAGCTTTTTGTACGGTATTGTTCTTTTGTTCCAGTACAGAATGTCTAGCAGCAGCGGGTATCTCTCTAGGCTCAAGGTCCACTGGGATAGTAAGAAGGCAGACTACATGCAGGCAGATGTGGATGTGTAGGAGTGCTTGTATACAGTATATACAGAGAGATAAAATGTTGCTATCACTATTACTTTACATTGGTTAGTCACATTATATAACAAAAGTCCCATTGACTTCAGTGAAACCAGAATTCGATATAAATCTGGAATAACTCCGGTGAAGTCAGTGGTCTCATCCCATTTACCCCAATGTAATTGAGATTAGTATTTTGCCCACAGTTTCTTGTATTTTCCTTATTTTCTTCATCTTTCTGATGCTAAACTTTATTGTTTTATTAGCTTTAATAGTCTTTTGTGCAGAGACACTTATAAAAACACAGTATCTGGAGAGCCTCTCAGCCAAAGAATCAATACACTTTAATACTTGCTGAAACAGAGGCAGAGTGAACTTTATTTGATGGAGAAATGAAGGGGGAAAATCCAATTTTGACTCTACATTGCTGTTTTCTCATTGTGATGCCATAATATAGAAGTTTGGTGTGCTAATCAATCTCAAGGAAAGAATGGACATGTCACAAGAAGCAACATTCCGCTAAAATTTATGTCAGTACTGAAACTCTGAACACTGTGGACCACTTCTGCTTTCTTAGCTCAATTCTTACCAGTTCATTTAGCCTTGACAGGGAACTTGATGGTGGAATCAGCAAAACTTCTGTCACCTTTGGCCAACTTGCCTCACGTGTTTGGAACAAGGCTTGTGTCCTTAGTACCCTCTTTACAGTTGTGAAAACTGAGTCATATGCTCCAAGCAGGAACAGAGATTGGACAGCTTCCACCTTTGCTGTCTCAGCAAAACCCTTGGACTACATCTACGCTGCAGGCTTCTTTTCATTAACTATTATAAAAAGAGAATCTTTAAACAAAGTGTTTACTAGGACTGTCAAGTGATTAAAAATTAATCACAATTAAATCACACAAACAACATTAATCACAATTAACTGTGCTGTTAAATAATACTAGAATGACATTTATTTAAATATTGTGGGTATTTTCAACATTTTCAAATATAATTATTTCAATTACAGCCCAGAATACAAAGTATACAGTGCTCACTTTATATTTATTTCTGATTACAAATATTTACATTGTAAAAACACAAAAACAAAAGAGTAGTAGTTTTCAGTTCACCCAATACAAATAGTGTAGTGCAATCTCTCTATCATGAAAGATAAACTTGCAAATATAGAATTATATTTATATGTACAAAAATTAATGGCCCCCAAAAACAAAACAATGTAGAACTTTAGAGCCTATGGTCTACTTTCTTATTTTTTTATTCAGCTAATCGCTCAAAC